GCTATGATAAAAAAGTTGCCTGCAGACGTTGTATTGGGGAATGACTTGGGCCAGATGACATCCGCATTTATACCTCAGGCCCCTTCGCAAGACTACCCGGCAACAGGCTCGCACCACGGTTCCACCAGCACACTCTGAGGCTCAGGTAAGAGACCATGACTCACCCTCGACTCGTATGACCTGGGACACCCCGGCCACCTTTGAAGCCGAGGTCCAGACAGACCCCACATTGCAGGTGTACAGGGATAGGGTAGACACTGACCAGGCCGAGCGGGAGGGGGAGCGGTATATTTGGGAAAACAAACTGTTGTACCGGATAGCCGAAAGGACGATAGGGAGCTCGGTTACAGTAAAGACCAAACAGCTGGTAGTTCCCCAGAAATATAGACCTGAGCTACTGAGAATAGCTCATGACATCCCTCTATCTGGCCATTTGGGGATGACCCGTACCCGTTACCGCCTAACCCACGCTTTCTTCTGGCCGGGGATTTCTAAAGATGTGAGGCACTACTGTACCTCCTGTGATGTATGTCAGAGGGTAGGTAAGAGAGGGGATCGCCACAAAGTGAAACTGTGCCCCCTGCCTATTATTGAGGAACCATTTAGCCGTGGATATAGTGGGACTGCTACCTAAGCCTAGCCCCTCTGGGAAGCGGTATATATTAACCGTGGTGGACTACGCCACCTGATACCCTGAAGCTATTGCCCTAACCAATATTCATGCAGAGACGGTAGCGGAAGCTCTGATGAAAATCTTTTCTAGGGAAGGGTTCCCTCAAGAAATAATCTCCGATAGCGGGACCCAATTTACAGCTGAAGTCACCCAGCAACTGTGGAAACTATGCGACATTAAGCCAATTGTTAACTCTGCCTACCATCCCCAATCCAATGTATTATGTGAAAGGTTCAACGGTACCTTAAAACAGATGCTCCGTACGTTCGGAGAGACCCATAAGGACTGGGAACGATTCCTTCTGTTTTAGATCAAAGAAAACTTTGATAATTTGTCTATCTACACCTTCCAAATTGATTGATTAATGCGTGCACGCTTTCCCTAGAAGTAATTCACACCGGAGACAAAGTTTCTGATCAGTGAAAAACCCAGGAATGCTTTATTCCCCGGAGTGGGGGCTCCTTCTTAAAGCAAAAATACGTCACAGTTTAAACATACAGTATACATTCACCAATTGGTTAACAGTCTAAGGGGGTCTTGTCTAAACCCCCCCTACAGGATGTAGTGTCATCATTACAGACTTCTGGATACACGATGGGAGGGGGAGTGAGTAGTTTCTTTCAGTTACTTTAACAGTGATTCTCCATTTTGTTACATGTGGCATATAGCTGTTAACTGGCACAAAGGTAGTGGGGGAGGAGTTAGTAAAGGGAGCTGTTAACACAGGAATTTTGGTTACATGAGGTTTGCTTGATTTGAAGGGGGATGCTTAGCAGGATGAAGAATTTACACAGTAAACAGCAACTGAACACATTGTAGGGGGGGAAGGGAATATTTACTCTAGCAGCCAGTTTTAACATAGTGAACACAGAATAAATAGACATTAGTAAATAGCCATTTTATTTTAATTCATCTGTCCATAACACTTCCCCATCTGTTGTTTGCATATAGGGAAGTACCCCAAGAATCTACCGGATTCTCCCCGTTTGAGCTGTTGTTTGGGAGGAGGGTACGGGGACCGTTGGACCTAATTAGAGAACATTGGGAGGGGGAGAGTAGCGCAGATGGGACCCCTATTGTACCATACGTGCTGGCGTTCAGGGATCGCTTGGAGGAATTGACCCAGGCGGTACGCACCAACCTCCAGGCCGCCCAACAACGGCAACGCCGCTGGTATGACGGGGGCCAGAGACCGTAGTTTTCAAGTAGGACAGAAGGTGCTGATTCTCAAACCTGTCCGCACAGACAAACTACAGGCCGTCTGGCAGGGCCCATACCAGGTGGTAGAGCAGAGATGCGATACTACCTATGTGATCGGCCCATGCTCCGGGGTAGGGAAGCGACGCATGCTCCATGTGAACATGCTCAAACCCTATCACGAGAGAACCAAGGAGGTGGCTGCCATATGCACACCCGCCTCAGAGGATCAGGAGAACTTACCTCTCCCGGATCTGTTAGAGCAGGAAGAGCAGAAGGAGCCTTCCCAGGGAGTTCAACTGGGGGAGCGGCTGAGTCCTCAAGAGCGAACCCAGGTACAAGAGCTGATAGCGGATAAGAGCGGATAACTTGCCTGGGTACACTCCGCTGGCCACCCACCGAGTAGAAACCCCTGGGCAGCTCCCCATGCGGCAGACCCCATATCAGATCCCCGAATCCGTACGGGAACATGTGAGGAAAGAGATTGAGGAGATGTTGCAGTTAGGGGTTATCGAGCACTCCGGTAGTACTGGTCCACAAAAAGGATGGGACGACCCGGTTCTGTGTGGACTACCGGAGGCTGAACGACAAAACGGTGTCGGACGCCTACCCGATGCCCCGGATAGACGAACTGCTAGATAAGATGGCCAGAGGTCAGTATCTCACTACAAAAGATCTTTGTAAGGGATACTGGCAAATTCCACTAGCAGAGGATGCCATCCCCAAATCGGCGTTCGTCACCCCGTTTGGCTTGTACCAATTCAGAGTCATGCCATTCGGGATGAAGAACGCCCCCGCAACATTCCAGCGGATGGTAGATTGGCTACTGGACGGGTTCCAGGATTATGCATGTGCATACCTGGACGATATTGCCATCTATAGCCAGACATGGGAAGATCACCTATGACACAAAGGGGCCGTAATAGATCGGATTGGAGAGGCAGGGCTCACCTTAAAGCCTAGTAAGTGCCACATAGGGATGGCGGAGGTGCAATATTTGGGCCACCGAGTAGGAAGTGGGCAACAGAAGCCTGAGCCCGCAAAGATTAAAGCCTTAGCTAAGTGGCACACCCCTAGGACTAAAACTCAAGTCCTCGCCTTCTTAGGTACCGCTGGGTACTATAGGAAGTTTTTGCCCAACTACAGTGCCCTGGCCAAGCCCCTGACCGACCTGACGTGTAAGAACCTACCCAGACAAGTCATCTGGGCCCCAGAGTGTGAACAGGCATTTAACCAACTTAAGACGGCTCTGACAAAGGCTCCTGTACTTGCTGCTCCTGATCCAACTAAACGTTTTCTTGTCCACACAGACAATTCTCCCAGTAATGCTCCCAATCCAAACATTGAATTATTATTATTATTATTATTATAAATGGCAATAATAATAATAATAATTCAATGTTTGGATTGGGAGCATTACTGAGCCAGGTTGGAGCAGATGGCGGAGAACACCCCGTAGCATATTTAAGCAGGAAACTGTTACCCCGAGAAGTGAGCTACGCCGCCATCGAAAAAGAATGCCTGGCCGTGGTGTGGCCCTGAAAAAGTTACAACCATATCTCTATGGGCAACCCTTTTCTTTGCTCACAGATCACAACCCGTTGGTGTGGCTGAACCGTGTGGCTGGAGACAATGCCAGGCTGCTGCGCAGGAGTTTGGCGCTGCAGCCTTTTGACTTTACAATTCATTATCGCCCTGGGAAACAAAACGGTAACGCCGACGGGTTATCTGGACAAACAGATCTTGAGAAGTGATCTGTGAGCCCTCCTCTGGACATCCCCAAGCCGATCCGTTGGGATCAGACTGTGTATGCCGGCTTGGTTCTGGGGGAGCATTGTGGCAAACCTAGCCACTTGGACAATATAAAGAGACTGTGCCTTTAAGGGTTGCCTGTATGGTTGTGGGGATATGTGTGTGCCTAGGTGTAATGTATGCTGGCTGTATAACCTTGTATTACCTGTATTGGCTATCTGCCGAAAGCGGATAGCTGTATTCCATTTCGTTTCACGAACGGCACCTTTGCGGGCCGTTCGTTAACTGAAATAACCACCCTGTAATAGCCCACACATTTAGAGACGTGTGGCGCACGGTAATTAGAGGCTCTCCTAGGTGGCCGTCGTTCAACTACCGACCATGCGACGGTCGGCCATCTTGGATCCTTTGTTCCCCAGCGGTGTTTGGTCGTCGAGCGCGTGGTACTAAAAATGGCTACTCGACGGTGCGAACACTGCTGAACTTCCAGGCCATTCGGGAGTTCCGGGCCGTTCGGTATTTTATTCCCTATACATCAATCGGTCTTGAATGTGTGTTTTAATGAATATGTTTTTCGTGCGGCGTTTGGTTGTTTTAGCTGGGATCTGAGCGGTAAGCTCACGAATTATGCGCTCAGACCCTGGCTATCTACCGAACGTCCATTTGTGCAAATAGACCTAATAGTCGAAAAACTGCGTATTTTAAAGTAAATTGCCAGTTCTGCTGCACGGAGGGATAATCCACTTAACAGTATATTCCAGTGGGAGGATACCTCTCGTGCAGCAGTGCCTGATGGGGGAAAGGCTTTGTAATGTAAGTTCCCCATGTAGTCCACTCTGGGAATACCCCTGGGATAGGACTCAGGAAACCCCTTGCATGGGGAATTGTATAAATTGTGGAGCCTGTGAATAAAGCCTTCAGTTGACGCTCAGAAATGTGTTTCGTCCGGTTACTGGGAGATTTGGGATATTGCCTTGCTTTTCAGCGCTTGACTGTGAACCAGCGGAGATCGTGGGATTTAATATTGCCGCTCCGCTACAGATGCTGTCCAGGAGGTGGGAGGGTCTGGGAGGGAGGGTCTCCTGCTGATTGGCTGGAATGTGTCTGCTGACTGTGAGGTACAGGGTCAAAGTTTACTCAATGATGACATAGGGGGCGGACCGAACAGCGCATATGTTCGCCATCCGTGGCGAACCGTTCGGCGAACTGTTCGGGACATCACTATTACACACATTACTGTGTGTTACACGTGTTTTAAAGGGTGTAACGGCACCGCCAGGCATAAAAGGGGTTAACAGCCGTTTAGTAGATCTTCCCTTCCAGAGACACAGGCACAGCTACTGCAAAACACCAATCCGCCAAACAGGAAACCATATGAATGCCGTAAACAGCCGAATAGAAAAAAACATACGAATAGGTTTACACTCCTAGCAGTCGAACTGGAACAGCATACAATAAATCCCCCCCAAGAACGAGACAAAGCTCCGTGTTGAGGGTCAAGCAGTGAACAATCAGAGCTGTGGGTTTATTGTTCTTATATACACATTAGTACCACCCACAGGGTTTTGGAACACAACCAATAAACACATACAATACACTCAGACACTCCCACACAAAATCCTCCCCTCTGCCTGTGATACAATTACCTTACACAATGGGTAATGTAATTATAACAAGCAGGGAAATACAATTTTTCCACATTATTCATAACTTGAAAAGTATGCATCACATTCACATTACATTTTCAGAATCAGCATACTCCAAATACAAACATACGTCAAAATCATACAAATTGGTCCAGTGGTTCAAAAGATAGATCATAGTCCTTTGTGACCAAATGAAGCATGGCTTTTCTGCCCAAAACCAGTTCCACAGAGTCTTCTATCCTGAGATAATTGGGAAGTAATCCAATTATCTCCAAGGACAGAGGCAAAACTCCATTGAACACATGGCAGCAAAAGACAATAAAACACATAAAAACATATAACTGTGCAGCCATTGCACAAAACAGGTATATTCAACATATCCCCAGATAGCTCAGATCTGAGCGCACATTATTACTGAATGGCGCTCAGAGCACACACATACAGTTTAATTGCCATGGAGCCAAAGTCTTTCCCATAGTCTTTCATTATACGAATGGGCTCCATGGCATAGCCATCTGGGGTATCACTGCTCAAACAGGGCAAGCACCGAATGACCCGGCTTTCATGTCTTTGCAGGGGAAAATCAAGCCTTTTAACATGTGGCCATAACCCAAAGGCAACAGGCGAGCAACCAGGCATCTCCAATGCAATGTGGCGAGATTGGTCTCGTCACAAAGGGTTATACACGTTACTGTGCATTACACTTGTTACTGTGGGTCATATATGTTACTGTTTGTTACTCATGTTACTGAGGGTCATACATGTTACTGTGCGTTACAAGTGTTATTGAAGTTCGCACACATTACTGTGCGTTACATGTGTTTGTGAGGGCCATATATGTTACTGTTTGTTATACGTGTTACTGAGGGTCATACATGTTACTATGCGTTACCCGTGACCCTGAGGGTCATACACGTTACTGTGTGTTATCCGTGTTACTGAGGGTCATACATGTTACTGTGCGTTACACGTGTTACTGAGGATCATACATGTTACTGTGCGTTACATGTGTTACTGAGGGTCATACACATTGCTGTGCGTTACCCGTGTCACTTAGGGTCATACACATTACTGTGAGTTACATGTGTCACTGAGGGTCATACATGTTACTGTGCGTTACCCATGTTACTGAGGGTCATACGTTACTGTGCATTACACGTGTCACTGAAGGACATACACATTACTGTGCGTTACCCATGTTACTGAGGGTCATACTTGTTTGCAAGGCAGCATAGTTACAGATAAATGATCCCAGGGAATGTTTCATTGTAACACACTGTTCTCCTCTCCTGAGTCTCTCTACGTTAACATTTATGTTTCTCTGACCTTTTTTCGTGGTGTGCACGTGGCTAATCTGGGGACGGCTGGGGGATGTGGGTCGGGTTACAGAGTACATGGAATAGCAGGACTTGTCTGACAGCAGCTGATAGAAGTCATGTGGACAATGCGGAGTTATAAGCAGGAGCGGGTGTAGGGAGTCTAACAGAGTCTTATTTTATTATAGAATTCATCAAACAGACATTCTGGGGAGAATTCTCTGTTTTTACATTATTATCTGCAGCACAGAAAACTATAATTTGGGCTGGCAGACAAAGCGTTAAATAATATACTTCCATAGGATGCCTAGGTTGTTATGGTGCTTGGAGGACAATTTGCCACCTATTTGGAGCAGGTGTTCAGAGACTCAAAGTATTATTAGTGAGTAAGCATCGGAGGATCTATCGAATTATGCAAACCAAAAAAACCTATCAACCTGCACTTCCATCCTGTGAGACGCACTGCCACCCCATGAGGCGCACTGCAACCCCGC